TATGCTCCCAAAAACAAATCGTAAGAATCCGCTGTCTCCCATGGCTAGCATACTCGACACAGTCATTCCTCCACCCACCCCTCACGACCTGAACCAATGCACTTGTGTGATGACCAAAGCTTGAGCAAAATCTGATCATGGAACTAGACTGGTGATTATTTCTTTTCCCATTTGGTTATGAATTCTCTCCTCTAAAAAAATAACAAATTGTGATGCATTATCTTGGAGACGAATCACTGCATGCGAACTTATTCGCTACTGTTTTTTTTCTGTCAACTTGAATGATTTTTCTTTCGTTTGAAATATACACCCCCAGGGATTGATCATGTAATTTGATTAGACTTCATCATGTTGAGATTGGGAAAAGTTTAGTTGCCTCGGTGGGATTCGAACCCACGCATGGACACCGCCTACGCTTTTTTTACAGCGCACGCTCTACCAGCGGAGCTACGAGGCCACGACGACAGGGCACTGATCTTTTCACACTCGTTGGCGGCGTCCATGCGTGGGTTTGAATCCCACCGAACTGAACTGAACTTTTCACAGTATCAAAATTAGACCTCAGTCGGCCAAGCAACAATGCAAATAGATTTAATTACTTCAGAATTGAGATCGTTTTCCATTTTTTGTTGCTTTCCTGTCTTTCTTGCACACAACAATGATAAACTCGTTTCCTTTTCCTAATCATTGTTTGATTTAGGGCGTTTTTGTCTCGCTGGTCCAGAAAGATTCACCGGCAGCTCTAGCCGGTTTGTGCTTTGGTGACCAAATTCTATCCATCAACGGTGTCGTTGTCGCTGGTATGTCTGGTACTAAAGCTATGGATCTTATTCGCCGTGCACCGGTCAATGGCATTGAATTTGTGGTCCGTGACAGGTGTGTTGTTTATTACAATCAAGTTTGACGTTTTCCGCATTATTTTCAATCAAATATTGTCTACGCAACGTTGAAAAAATGCAAAACTTCTGCCTTCGCACGTGTAGTCTTTGGTTGTTACATGTTCTCACTTTGGCCTGCTCAAGATAATAGTATTCTGCCTATAAACTAATCATAAACCGATTTCTTTGTTATGAAGGTTATTTTATCTTGATTAGTTTTGTATATGGTCAACTCAGACTCCTGTCTTAATGCACCGCATTATATTTCATATGTGTGTGTGTACTTCGCACTTCACAGAGTTCATGGCATAAACGTATTTATGACAAACAGATCAATCCGTTTTTCAAGGCGTAGTACAACCAGGCAGTAGTGGTAGAGTAGTGGTTTAGTCCGTCACGACTTGCTTTGTATTTTATGGTCCGAGATTCAAGCCTCACCACTGCCATAT